ATGCTTTTATTTGATATGTTTTTTGATTGGCAATACAACAAAATTACTTAAAGTGGCAATATCACGCATCTCTTCAAAAACAGATTTGTTAAAATTTTCTCATAGATTTTGAAATTTTTTTCATACTCATAAATGTATACACTTTCAGGAAATTACAAATTTTATAAGTAAATAATTCTGAATATTTCATTAAAATCAATTATTATTTATGGTACATAAATATATACATCGCAACGTGTTCTCGGAGAGGTTCCACATTCCATGCTATACACGCACATGACGCATGCGTATACTTCTCATAAAAAAAAACAGCATGGTAAAAGAGGGAAGCCCGGTAGGCTTGCTACATTGATAAAGTTGATCAAAACAAAAATCTACTCCAAAAATAGGGCTTGAAATTAAAAAGCAACTTTCCTGACAAAAATTTAGTTGAAAAATTAATATAATCATTGGATGAAGATGAAACGGGATCTCGTCGACACTCAAGAGGGCTCGCAAAGGTTTTACCCTACAGGTTTGTTGATATACATGGTATCATTTCTTGTCTCTCCATGGCTTTCAAAGAAAAAAAAATAGTATACACTCAACGTTAAAATGCACTTATGACATATGAAATTTATTGCCATTTGAAATGCAAATTTTATTGAAACTACAGAAAAGTATTATGTTTGACATTTTGCCGCGATGACGTATGATTTGGTGGATTTTCCTTCCTGCACCCCAAAACACAAAACGTCAAAATTTGTACTTAATCATGTTAAATTCATCTGAATGCAGACTAAAATGTTAACTATTAATAATTTACCGGAGAGCTATGATATTTCAATTCTGAGAATTGCTTTTACCTAATATCCCATTATTAATGTAAACCCTACATTGTATGCACGTGCCATTTTGGAATTCACGTGGTAGAAGTAAACAGAGATAAACGGAGATAACTTGTACGACCCTTGATTTTCCGGCAGATTCTAATTACGTTAATTTTGTATGAGGAGAGAATATTTATTTTTCTCAAACTGCTAACTTCAACTTCTTACTTTATTCCTTAATGATTTATTGGGTAAATGTGAATGAAAAAGCACACGATTTGCAGCCGTATTGCCGCTTTAATTAAAAACCATTCTTCACAAAAACATACTCCGTGGGTGTGTTAAGTTAGAATATAAGTCATTTTTTGGGAAATTTAGACTTTGGACAGAAAATCAAGTTTCAAAAATTACCAAAACCGCTAATAAACCTAAACTATTATTATTTATTGCATAACGATAAAAGAGTGCATAACGCAACAAAGTGCACCACCACCACCACGACATCACGTGACTTCTTTTAATAGCCAAATTTTTCTTAATAAAAAAGCTAACAGAACAACAATACCCAGGAGTTTAATAATTTATTTGAGTAAATAATATAGTTGAAAAACATCTATTATGCCTAAAAAAGTTCTGCTACAATCCAACTATTTCGTCAGTATATGATTATTCCACACATTTGCACGAAACCTTACCTGATGTTCTGATTTTTTTTCTTTACATATGAATCGAGATTTCTCGTAAAACCATGCTAAACTCGGGATTCTTGCAATACTTTCCAAGTATTTTAGGAGGCAAACTTTCCATATGTACAAATCATGTGTTTAGAAATATACAGCTCATTATTGTTCTGTTGCATTATTTTTGTCACAAATGTCAGAGGAAAGGCCAACCGAGATACATGTACGTATCTAGCTGACTGTCTTCGAAAGAGAATATTATCGATGAAAATCCATTAGCATACCCTTTTTTTATTAACTGAACTCCATATGAATTTCATAAAATATTCACGAAAATCGCTTTTAAACTCCTTGTTACGTATCTTGTTCATGCTGTCTTAGCCAAATTCTCTGTACACGACATGATCAATTCCAAAAATACTTGATATAAACATGTGACGTCATCGGTGGTAGATTTTAAGAGGCAGTCCACCGAATAACCAGGCAATAGGTGGCACATGGCATGTCATGGATTTTAATTATTTTTTGCATGCAGACTTCTTTAATCAAGTGTTTACTAATGCATGACAACATCAAAAAAATTTTTAGTGATCCTCTAGTCCTATTTTTGGTAAATGTCTAATTTTAAGTGCAAAAAGGTCAACATTAGGGTATAAAAAATACTACGTTTTTATTTTGTTTCATATGTAACAGATACTCAAAAGCTAGATGTGTCAATCAATATTATTTATAGGAAAGACTCTTATCTTTTATTTTATAATGAATAAGACTCCAAATTTTATTTCTTTAGAAAAAAATAATGTGGTCCAAAATTGAGTTTAGCAAGTGACTTTTTGAATTCAGTATCCGATGTTTGATACGTTATAAAATCCAATACATTATTATGACAGAATTTTTTCCTCGTGTTATTATGAATACAAAGTACAAACTTTTGAGTCACTTCATAAAATTGGTGGGAACAGGTATATTGAGGGAAATAAAAGGAGTCAAATTCATTTATTATTTACTATTATTCCCAAATTTAACCGATCCCGAATTATATAAAGAAGAAAATACTATTATTGTATCGTTAAATTTGGCTCTTTTGTTGTTATATACTTTAAAATTTACTAAATCTATTTTTATACATGTCTTATAGGTGGCAGTTGCCTTTGATTTTATAACTTTACAAATTTTGAATTATTTTCGATCGGGATCAGTTTTATTTCAATCGAGTGTGGTTTTTAGGAATTACCTAAACATGGTTCTTCGTTTTAATTAACCAGAGAAATAATATGCTTATCTTTTGTTTCTTTTCAGTCAGTAAAATGTTTTAGAAGATTTTGTCATTATATCCAAATGTATACATATATATTTAAATTCCTCATATCTTTTACGTACAAGATTACTGTGTGCATGTAAATCATCTTTGATTTAAAACTTGATCCTCGGAATTAAAAAAAGACAGTAGTGTTTGTACATTATGCATTATGCAGCAGCTGAGAGAGAACAGCTTAGCTTAATTAAATATATTATTTCCAAGTAATTTTTTTTTCTTTAATTAATGTTTTCTCAGGAATTAATAAGGAGTTAAATTCTATTAGTGGCGTACGTACCTACTGTGTAAATACAGAAAATATGTTTATGTGTATAGTCTCGGGTTTATCCAAGTTTTTTCAACCCGTCATCTGTTAATCCTTTTCCCCTATATATTCCTCTTTCACAAAATATTATCTTATGTAAATAAAAAAAGTTCTTTCATATACATCATTATTTAAGAGCCCATAAATCGCAAGCAAAAAGCACGGGTTTGGGGGGGGGGGGGGTCATCATGGCATCATTTTTTCAAAAACTGGTTTCATGAATATAAAAACATTTAAGAATTGGCCAACATAGCCATATATTCTAAGTCCATATTAAACGTAAGTATGTAATTATTTCGATGCCCTAATTATAAAAAAAAATAATTTAAAAAAAAAGAAACGTTTCACTGAACCATTTTCCGTTTTAGTGTCAAATTGAAGTTGGGAGTTCAGCAGTAATCTTCCGTAATAAATATTATTGTAACTTAATTTATTTATCAGGTTTTTTTTCATATTTTTCGTACCGATGCTTGTTTATTTTATTTGACTGCAAAGAAAAATATATTAAAGTAATATACGCTATAACGTGCGCTATTTCAAAATACGGCTGGAAATTTATATATTTTGTTTACCAATAAAAGTTACGAAAATGCTGTAAATTACACCATTTAAATAAAATTCGTTACAAAGTTATCAAATTATAATTATTTATTATCCTGCAAGGAGAATAATGTCTATTTTTAAGTAAATCCACCACGTGACGCCGTCGCTACTTTTAGATTGATAAACAAACACGGCGTCAAGAAAACGAGGTAAGCCCTTTGAGATACAACTCACTTTTGACATGGATGGCGTGTTACTATTAATATAACTTATCTTTAAATGTAATCAGTATCAACCATCTATATTCTGTTATGAGGCATATTAACCTTTTATTAATAATCGTTGTCAAAATGCAACGTGCCTCGTTGTCTATAATTTCCCGTGGACATACGTGTCTATATTTAGACCTACTGTTTACGCACTTCCTTTATCAATATTCATGAAAAGACTGAATTCTTGATTGCAGATATTGCTTTATTGTTCTGTTATTACAACGAGTTTTATAGTTAAATTTTGTGGAAATATTTTTTCATTACACTTTATGTGTTTCAAATCATTTAATCATTTTGTTTCACATACAAATCGGCATCCATACGGCGTATATTACTTTAAAGATTTTACAAAAACAAGTATCATGAAGTAAACATCTCAACTTCACATTCGATGTGCCGCCTATCAATACAATACTACCTGCTTTTTCGGTGAACTACCTCTTAATCAAATGAGAGAACGTTTCTATACATTTATTTGAGTTAAATTACATCTCGAAATACCATTATTATAAAAACTTGTGATCTAGAATTGACGTCATCTCGCCTTTTATGACGTAATAATGTTGCACTGATTAAGTCAAGGTAGAATATTTTGTATACTTCCTTATTCCCACTGCGTCGTGCTTATATTTCATTCATTATAAAGTTTGAAAATTGAATTCATGTTTTTAACATTTATTAGCCACACCATTTGATTTTATTTTAAAACGTTAACAGTGTTACCAAATCTTTTTTTAGTGTAATATGACGTTACGTGAAGAGAAATTTTTACCTACGTCAGCGAATTTTCCAAAATACTCAGTATATCAACATAGTTAGTATCCAATGCCTGTAGACACACCTGCTATTATGATACCATCACGAGAAAGCTAAACAGGATATCAGTGATATGATGAGTGTGTCAGTATTAATTAATTAATGGAAGTACAACTTTCTATGGAGATTGATGTACTCTTTCCCGCGGCATTACTCAACTTAGCAATTCCCGTTGTTTAAATACAGTAAAAAGAACACCAAGAGCTAAAATAAGATAACTTTATCACACTAAAAAGGATAAATGTGTAACAAATAAATCAAAAAGATACAATAAGGTCACAACCCTCACTTGGGTTCTTTCTGCGCCATAGTTCCTATTTGCTTATAGATCTATTTATTAGGTGAGTCAAGTTGAGTATATTTATGTTACATTAAATTCCAGCACTCGAGATAGTATGTTAACAATTAAAAAGAATATATGTCGGTGTTTTTATGATTGTTTTTTATTCAGTATTTTCTTGCACAACTCCACCATTCTAGATGAGGGTTGACTATTCCCAAGATCTTTAAGATACCTCTCCAGATATTTAATAAGTAACTCAGGCTGTAAAAATATGTAAAAATATTCACAACACATTTCCATATTTTAAGGTTTTTCTCACTTTTTGTAAGGAACTCCAGAATAAGACAAATTTTACTGCTTTGCATATTCCTTTCAATATACATACCTCATAAAGACCTACTGTAAGTTCGTCGTATGTTTCAGACTATAAAAGCAAAATATATATAGTTTAATTTAAAATATGAGGCAGCTTACTTTAAAAAATATATGTAAAACAAGCTTAGAAACGTACATCAAGAAAATCAAGTTCATTTTCTCTTTGCAATTGTTTATCGTCTAACTTATCGCAGCTTATGTCAATGTTTTCTGGACATGGACTCATGTGTTGTTTTTGAAGCAAATCTGTAGAAGCATTTTTGTCTTCATAAGATGAATTTAGAACCTGTGAAAAGTTTAAAACTTAATTCGTAAAAATATAATATGTGAAAATATATATCTAAAGGTGGGCCTTGTCACAATGAATTAAAAAGCGAAGAAAGAAAATTAATGTATGTATTTACCATCTAAAAGTATAGCGAAGGTTATGGTATAATTCGACATCAATGAGTCAAAGTCCGAGGTCAAGCAATAAAAAAGTACCCACAAGAAGGCCTCGTTACTAGGAATATAATTTAAGTGTACTATTTTTTATTAATATGATACTATTTTTGTTTCATATAAAAGTAATAACTCCAACAAAGCAAAAGTGGAAGGAAAGATTTTTACGGTTGAATAGATGAACAGAAAGACAGACAGTGGATCGACAAAACAAGAAATCAATACCCACAAGTCTTCGTTTAACATGTTTAAGGAGGCATAAATTATTAAATTACAGCTATTAAATATTAAATTTAATAGCTACAATGTTCTTGATCAGTTTTATTACCACTAAGTCTTTCCCCTTGGCAGTGAAAACATTGGTACCGGCATCCTGAAAGAAAAACTAATTTTTAACAAAACTGCAAGGTCTAATAGGCATTTTAATGCTTCTGATACGAGTTCTGAAAAAAGAGTGGTAGACTAAATATCAATCATGTTTACCGTACTGCTTTTTTCAGCACATCTTTTTCTCTTTCTCTGTAAAGAAATTACATTGTGTTTATTAAATGTTCATATTAAATGTATTATGAAATCCTCACTTCCATCACTGAATTTTTCATTTACATTTGATTTATTATGCACAATTTCTCATTTTTTTGAAAGCTGAAGACGATAAAAATGTTATATACGACACAAGCTATTTTATTTCATCACATACCGTGGAATCTCCTTGAGAAATTTTTCTCATTTTATTCTCGATCACCCATCTCTCTAACTCGTTTTTGCTATCTTCTTCTTCCAGTTTTGCATTCAGATTGTTGTAATTATTTAGCAAGACCCTCCACTCGGACGATAGTGGTACAGCACACCAATTCTGTAGGAGCCATATCATCTTATTGAAGACTTCATCCTCCTTACCTGTTTGATTTGATATGTTTTGAAACTTTATTTCTGGTTTGTATGTATCCCATCCAGGTGGGGAACTACTATATCGATGTTTTGGCATACTTTGACCACTGTTTTTGTATATCATTTCCAGTAACATTGTCTGTGTGAATCTTCGAAATTTTCTTAATATTTGAGACCTTGCTAATGGTCCTGGATTCAGTTCTACATCACCACATGTCCATAACACAAGGATAGCTACTTTCGTCGTCCAGTAAATCAGTTCTTCAATTACTATTTCTAATTCTCCTGGGTTATGACGAATAATCAGGAATACTAGAAAAATGAAAATTAACACTCTCTTCAACATTTTTTTGTAGCGTATAGAGATAAAATAAAATGCAATCTCAATATATCTTATTAATTATTATAAAACTTTTTTTCTTTCATATTACCAATTGTGATCTGCACTATTACCACGATACATTCACCTGAAATGAAACTCTTAAAACTTTTTATTTCTGAAAACAAAGAACATTCTATGAAAAAGATTTTGCTGGAGCAATGTTAACTTTAGAGCTTTTAAAAAATCCAGTGGTTTAAGAACAAAGAAAACAAAATTAATGCATATTACTTGTACATATGTGAAGTTATATGAAAATGTTCCATACTTTGTTTCAATACTTTTGCAAAAGCAGACAAACTTACGCTTCTGTTTTTTGAGTTCTTCTTTTGCCTTGAAATCAATGAAAAAAAAATATTTATTAATATTGATTAAAAATGTATTGGGGTAAATAATCAAATATTCATAATTGTATATCAAATTTTAATTAGGTTATGATTACATAACCATTTAATGGGATTTACATCATTTTATCATTTAATGTAATAAAAATTTGGTTAATGAATAAAGTCACAGTGGTGGCAGAGTGCAACATACTAGTAACTTATTGTTTCTGTGTCTTGTATGAATATGTATAAGATGGAGGGCTCAAGAGTTTAAGAATGGTTAATTATTAATACATACTAACTGAATATACATGGAAGTATGCTATATTGGAATGTTGGGATTCGAACATTGTCAATTATGAATAAATGTATTTGTGATGTAATGATAAAATTTTTATTGTTTCAATTCAATTTTAAACTTGAATACTATTTTTTTAAATTTGTGCAATTCATCTTTCAGAAGTTGTATTTTAGTGTTTTGTACATGTAATGCATATTAATGTTAATCTTACTTTTATTTGAATAAGAACATTATTACTAATTTCTCCTTATTTATTTTTATTGTTTTACCTTTTCCAATTCCTTGTTAAAATAATGCTCATCTATTGTAACTAAAGAGCTCATCCCTTGCTCCTCTCTTAAAGTCTCACTTTCTTCCATTTTGAGTTTCTTTTCTTCAGGGTCACGATTGCTATTCTTTGAATGGAAAACGCTTCACCCTGATAATAAAGCGAACATCAATGATAGTCATTTCAATTTTGCAAAGGAGAAAAAATGATTTTTGAATTCTTTAATCAAAGTTATTTGATAAAATTCACAAAATATAAAATGAGTTATTTCACATGCAAATAAAATAATCCCATGCCTTTACATCTAAAGAACTATTCCTTTTATCCCCGTGTCGAGAATGTCGAGTACAAAGTATGTTAAATATTTATGGTTTGACTTTTATATTATTATACGAGTATATCGTGTTCTAAACCGTTGTAAAAATTGGAATTCTTAATTCCAACTTCATTAAAACACCCTTAAAAAAGAAAACATCTAACAAGATGTGTTTGTGAAACACTATAAGCTCGGCGGCACAAAAGTTTAAAAAGGCTATTTTTAGCATAAAGGTCACAGTCAACCTCACAGTCATTGACCTTGAAAGAACTTGATTAACGGGGTAGCATATCAAATATAATTGTCAATATATTATTGTTTAAAAGTAATGGCGCAGGTCCGAAAAAATCTATATATAGCATAAAAGTCACGGTCAAGCTCATTGTCATTGACCTTAGAGCCATTTGAAGTAACTTAATTAGTAGAGTTTACATACTTAATATGCAGTCTCTATCTCTTTTGGTTCAAAAGGTATGGCGAAGGTAAGAAAAAGCTTTTTCTTAGTATACAGTCAAGTCAAGTTCACAAGTGTCATTTGAAAGAACTATAAATTCTTAATATGAAGTCTCTACCTTTCATGGTTGACAAGTTATGGTAAATGTTCATGAAAGCTATTTTTAGCATAAAGGTATCAGTCAAGATCACAAAATCATTGGCTTTGGTATAATTTGTAAGGGCTTTATTAGAGGAGTATGTACCATAAATATGAAGTTTCTTTCTTTCATGGTTCAAAAGTTATGGTAAAGGTTAAAGTGTGCTGAACATAAAAGCTATTTCTAGCATATAGGACACAGTCAAAGTCATAAGCTCATTAACTTTGATGTCATTTGAGGAACTTATATAGTGGAAAATGCATACTCAATATGAAGTCTCTGTCTTTCATGGTTCGAGAGTTATCCCGTAGGTTAAAGTTTGCAGACAAACAGACAGACAGGGGGAAAACAATATATGCGTCGGATCCATCGATCTGGGTGCATAAAAATAGAATAATCTCTTACAACAATTAATTTTTCATTAGTTATCTATAGTTTATTATAATTAATAAAGATGAAACTTTGGATACTTTGATTTACTATGAAACTTTCCTCTGAGTATTTATGCCCCCGTAAACGAAGTTTCGAGGGTATATAGTTTTTGTCGTGTCTGTCTGTCTGTCTGTCTGTTTGTCTTTTTGTCCGCAAAAACTTTAACCTTCCCCATAACTTTTGATTTAGTGGAGCTATGACTTTCATATTTCAGATGTGTATTTCTTGTGACAAGACCTTTCTTTGAGTCCACCAAATTTGACTTTTTGACCTTGACCTTGGAGTTTGGCCTACTTTAACATGAAAATTTTAAAATTTTACTTTGGCAATATCTTTTGAACAATAGACATCAGAACATTTATACTTCACATATGTAATGTTTGTTAAAAGACCTTTCACTGAATATCAACAACCCTGACCCTTTGACCTTGAACTTGTAGATTTTTGTACTTGTGAAAAAATTTAAATTTTGAACGGTAAGGGATAAGGCTTTCATACTTAATCCTTGTAATAAGAGCCTTCATTAGATACCAAGAACTTTGACCCTTTGACCTTGACCTTTGAGATTGACCTACTTTAAAAAGCAAACCTTGATCATAACATTAAAAGACTAGGGCTAGTGCTTTCATACTCTACATATTTTATCCTTATGACAAGACCTTTCATTTGATAACATTAACTTTGACCCTTTGACCTTGACCTTGGAGTTTGACCCACTTTACATGAAAATTTTACTTTGGCCAAATCTTTTGAACAGTAGACACCAGGACATTTACACTTCACATATGTAATGTCTGTTAAAAGACCTTTCACTGGATACCAACAACCTTGACCCTTTGACCTTGACCTTGTATATTTCCATACTAGTAAAAAAAACTTTAACCTTGGCCATAACTTTTGAACGGTAACGGATAGGGCTTTCATACTTCATATATGTAATTCTTGTAATAAGACCCTTCATTAGATACCAAGAACTTTGACCCTTTGACCTTGACCTTTGAGACTCACCTATTTCAAAAAAGCAAACCTTGATCATAACTTTTAAAGAGTTAGGGCTAGTGCTTTGATACTTTACATATTTAGTCCTTATGACAAGACCTTTCATTTGATTACAATAACTTTGACCCTTTAACCTTGACCTTGGAGTTTGACCTACTTTTTAAGAAATTGAACGTTGACCATAACGTCTGAACGGTTAGGGGTTGGGTTTTCATGCTCTACATAATTATTCTATGTGGCAAGATCTTTCATTTGATACTAATTACATTGACCTTTTGACCTTGACCTTTGAGATTTTTGTACTTATTAAAAATCTTTAACATTAGCTTACTTTCAAATTTCACAATTGTTTTCCAGTGAGAATACCCTACATTTGATACCAATTAATTAAATTTGCATTTTAGAAAAGCTTAATGTTTGATATGTTGCTATACGGGGGCATCAGTGTTTTACAAATACATCTTGTTTTATCTAGGTTTCAAGGCATAAAATCCCTTAAATTTGATAATAATAATGTTTATTGAAGAAACAATATTTTAGATTTAAGATGTTTCCAGGTCAATACTTTAATTTGATATAAAAATAAAACAATCTGAATCCAACCATAAAGATACATTGATTTAAAAATGAAAGTGAAAGCATTGATACAATATTTATTATCGTTATACGATAGAATAGGCTTAAGTCTGTATAAATTGCAAAATAATATAATCGTTGGTTCATTTTATGGTGCAACCTTATTTATCAGAGCATTTTTAAGTCATTTTAAATTAAAAAGATCTTTGTTTTGTTAGTTTGTATAAAGAGTGGACTTCCCTTTAAATCATACAATTCATGTCAATCGCGTTTCATTGATGCCTGTGTCAGAGATTTAAAAACAACTAGAAAAGAAACTCGTTGCGAGCAACGAGAGGTCTTCCGTCCGATTCTGAAAAAAAACCCCCGCAAAATCGAGCTGAAAAGTGATAAATCTTTTTATGGAAACAAAGGGGATTGAACCCGGGTCGCCAGCATGAAAATCCAAAGCGCTTACTGTAACGCTATTGGGGCCACATCTCTAAATCTACTTGTATATACTTCTGAAACAGTACATCTGTCTTAGAATAATGAAAGGCGGTCACTATTCATAATTTTGCGTCAAACGCCACGAGTAAATCTTCGCGCCTTTTCTTTGGAATGTCCCATTAAATAGGTGTGATAGCTTCAATGGAAATAAAAAAAGAACGTTCTCATAGCTAAAATTTCAAGGTAAAGAAATTGTTTTTAACACATTTACAAATTCTATGACTTAAATAGATAAGTAACACTAAATCAGTGAAACTGTAATAACTTTTTACTTTTCAAAATTTCCTGTTTATCCCCATACTGAACTATCCCGATTAGTTAAACTTGCATGAAAAGGTTGAAATGTTTCGCAGAAAAACATGTGTCGCCCTAAGACGGTCAACGAATCAGATACCATTTATGTTCAATAACTTAAATCATATCGTTGACACAAGAATATCAATATAAATTCAATTCTTCTAAAAAAAGGTTTTCTTTATATGTTTGTCTTTCCTAATACAAATATAGTTTAATATGACTCTAGGGTGCATGAGCAAAACATTGGATACGTTTGATACTGACTACATACATCGATATTGTTTCTTAAAACTATAATTTGTAACTAAGATTTAAGATCTGTTTTTCCGCAAAACAAATGATAGTAGGTATGTATTTCATTTGCACATTTCTACTTTGAGAACCAGCCAAAACCAATTATAGAAGACGTTTGAGACGACCATGTATTTAAACTTAGTTTGACACGTAATTGCAACGTAATTACTTCGCGACAATCCCCGTATTCCTTTACATTTCATTTGTCCTTATTTACTTTCGTTCAAGCAAACGCTCGGCTGACTCTGAAAACCCCTATTGCGAAATGTCGGAGTTGACATAGACAGCCGCCATATTGGTGCCATAACAGTATTACACTTTGGTTCACCTCAAATCATGGCTGACGAAAAATAATCCCGGAATCTTCCCTTCCGATTCGGACATTTTGATACGAGACTGGAGCTGAATTTTTTTATGAGATGAAAAACAACATGTAAACTTCCTGTATTGACCAGATTTATTAAAATTTAGGGCGTGCTGATTTTCTATATACTGTCAAGAGTGGGGAGTGATTAGGCCCTGGACTAGATTTTCAAGCACCTGCTCGACTTCGACCGAAACAAACTTGCGTGCCTTGCTGGATGGCTATGTATTTTTTGGTACTAAAATCTTTATAAAGAATGGTTTTACAAGATCTGAAAAGGAAACTTCTCAGAAGTTTGTTTTGAATTAGTTACATCTACTCAAACTTGCGCATTTTTGGTAAGAATATATAGCAGAAATTAATACTGTTGTGACACCTGCAGTAAAACCGAATTTTGTACTTAGAAATATTGTAGTCTAAGAATTAAGGTTTTATTTTGTGAGTTTAGACGGAAAATGAGAAATAATGGCATTTTTCGGCCGTCATTGCTGTTCGTTCATGTTTAATGGAGCATAGAAAATTAGTCCAGATTTCCTCCAAAATAAATTATGTTGGCCACACCACGGCCTGATTTGGATGTATCGGTTTGAGAGAAATGCATGAAATTTAGAGGACAGCTTAAAAAATACCTTGCCATCACACTCGTTAACATTATTTACTCATAGTTAATTTTAAAATCTATAAGTTAAAAAAATTTAGACCACACTCGGAGCAAAATAAAAATTCTGAATATGTGTAAATATCGGTTTATTTGAAACACATTGGTAACAGATAAAGAAATCCGGTCGGA